CACACACACACACTCTCACTCTCTCACACACACTCTCTCTCTATCACACTCACTCACTCACTCACTCACTCACTCACTCACTCACTCACTCACTCACACACACACACACACACACAAACTACAGCTTTAGGACAAAACCATTTAAGCAAGTGTGCAAACACAATGCTAGCACGCGGAGCCGTTTCATAGCTTCAGTTTAACCTCAGATGTCTGTGACGTTAAACCAGATGTGCTGTTAGTCAAGCAGCTGCTATAAACATGTCAATAGTTTAACCTAGCAAGACTGGGTAAAAAACTCACCATAGAAGAAGACAGTTTGCGCTAATATGCGCTATAGCTCCCCTTGTGGTTGTGGATTGCAGCTGTTTCAGAACACAACACGCTTGTGTTTGTGTACTTGCATAAAGTGTGTTTCAGACCTAAAGCCATCAGATTCTTTCCTCTTCCTATATTTCTCCAGCATCTCAGCAAATGTTCTTCCAGTATGATTAATGGGAACGTTAGCAGAACATATTTGTGTTAGCTGGTATGATCTGGGCTCCTGTAAACTGATATTTACTGTAATAATCGATGGTTTGGATGGATATTTGGCCTGTATGTCGCCGCTGGTGCTATTGTATCGGTTACACTGGTGCGGGAGGAACCGTTTGTATTATTACTGCTTGTGGTCCAGTGCTGTCGTTGTTGTTTACTTGTTTATTTGTCTTGGGGTGAGTTACACTGAACCCAGACTCGAACCCTCACACCTGATCTCAGGTCAGAGGTCAAGACCTGTAAGCACTGATCTGTCATCAACAATCACCTGAAGAACGCTACTGAACGCAGCATACTCCGCATTTACTGTAATATTAGCTGGTCCAAACTATTTTTGCAATTTAATAAACTTTTTTCTGTACATTTGAATGCAGTCTGTAAGCATGAAACCGTATAGAATAGGCTTTAAACATTTCAGAGCATTTTAATGTGTATAAAAACAAGACTGAGACTATATCACACAAACCGAAAGACTGGGCAGAGTTGAAAACTATCAAAATGCCATTTTAATTGATGGTTTCTTAGTAACTATACACAAAGCCATTTACGCGATTATGATCGCTCGAGATCTGTTTTCTTTGCTTCTGACTTAACTGTATGTAACCTGCACCTTAACATTATTGCTTTTGAAGAAGAATTAAAATAACAATTATTGATATAGTTTGCCGTCAGGTGTCTCACAGTAACTCGCGCCGTTCCCGTCAGAGACCGTTAGCAGGGTTGCCAGGTTTTCACAACAAAACCCAGCCGATTGCTACTCAAAACTAGCCCAAAACTAGCTTAATCGCGTTCTGGGGGGTAAAATACACTTTTTTGGCGGGGTTCCCCTGGTAAACGTCACATTCCAGAAGCTAAATATCACGTTACTGGGGTCGCTTCAACCCGCGGCTAGTGTTACAGTAGCTCAATTCCGCGGGAAACCCGTGCACCTGGCAACACTGACCGTTAGTTTCTGTGCAGCTCTGACTGACTTTTCACATTTTCAGAGAATCGAACGTTTTCTTAGGTCTTGTGTTAATGAATTCATCTCTGTGTGAAACTGGACACTCCAACGGCAAAAAATCAACAGCAAAACTCGTATAAACGTGAATGTCGTAAGAGAGATGTTTATATTTCAGATTCCGAGCAGATACATCAGTTGGGTCTGTGTATCATCCGACCATTCAGTTCAATCTGGCAACCCAAAAACACTGAAAACCTGTCGTATTTCGTTTTTCTGAATGAACCAAAAATCGAAAGTTGGCGTTCCGTGGACGAATACACTCGAGAAATGTTAAGATCGTTTTGTTCAGTGTTGTCAACTAATTTTCAGGGAAAGTTGCTAAAGGAAGCTCGTCATCGCACAATGACATTATTACGTAATTATGACGCAAAATTACATCAAATCTCAGGAAGCAAATATTTAATGTTAATTTAGATTTGTTCATAAAATGATATTAAAATATAAATAACTGTATTTTTGAATACAACATTGAATTATTGAACACTTACACATTTTTGAACAATTACAATTTAAGTTTTTTATTAGCTAGTAAACTATAAAACTACACATTCTGAACGATTATAGTTTTAAGCAGTGTATTAGCAGTTAGTTAGTATAAAAATAGGGCTGTTAATATGAAGGAATTTTCCGTATTGATTTTTCACAGGTTTTTTACCTGCATTTTAAATTACTCATTGTATTTTGTGTTTCCGGGTTACAATGGATAATGAATAATGGATAACAATTGCAAATAGCAGCTAACGATTTTCCGTATTGATTTTTCACAGGTTTTTTACCTGCATTTTAAATTACTCATTGTATTTTGTGTTCCGGGTTACAATGGATAATGAATAATGGATAACAATTGCAAATAGCAGCTAACAATTCATGATGTGTGTACTGCTAGGCATCTTTGGTTTCCTCATTTTGTGTGATTTAGATGGAAAATGTGTGCCTTTTTATCATTTGAGTCACTTCTCAAAAGTAGCTAAAAGTTGCCAAATAAATTTTTAAAATAGCTAAATTTGTTGGCAGGTGCTTTTGGAAGAAAAAGTTGCTAGGGTAGTATGAAAAGTTTAGCAAAATTGCTAAGTTGGTAACACTGGTTTTGTTGAACAAAACGGAAAACAAGATTTTAATTAATGTTATTACACATACAAGTAATAAACGAGCCATCTTTCCATTTCTCAAATGTATTCCTTCACGGAACGCCAAGTTTCAATTTTTGGTTCATACTGAAAATCGGAAAAACTAAATATTGACGGGTTTTTACCGTTTTTCGTTTGCCAGATGAATGATCGGATGAAACACAGACCCAGTTTACATCACTGATTATTAAAACTGACCTGTCAACAATCAGGTGAGGAAAAAACATTATAGTAATATTACTGCAAATTACAAATTATTAAACATTACAGTTCACAACTGCTTCAGATATAAAAAAAAATGGTTCTATTCACTTCAAGTCAGTTACTGAATCTCACATGAACTATAAATATTACAGTAAAATACTCGTGTGTTGAGTGTGTCAGTGTTCAGGGAATGTGAGTCTGGAAAACTTTCTCATTACAGTAACATGAATTATTAGAATAAACTGTGCTTAATTCTCATTATAATAAAGTCACATTGTAAAAAAAAAAAAACTTTCTTTAAACAAAATACTTTTTTTCTTTTGGTTTTGGGGTAACTAGTACTCTGACGGGCTTTATAAGATTTATATGGAAGCTCGTTTCCACCACAGAATAAAATAAAAAAGGTAATTGTGACATTTTAGCTAGGGTATTGTGAGCTATAAACTTGTTTATTCGCAATGGTGAGATATAAACTCGCCATTCTGAAAAGAAAAGTCAGAATGAATAAAAAGTTGCAATTACCTTTTCTATTTATATATAAGATATAAACTCAAAATTGCAGGAAAAAGTCAAAATTCTGAGTTTAATATCTCGCAATTCTTTTTTTTTCCTCCTTTGCGGTAAACAAAATCCAAATTGTGAGATATAAACTCAGAACTGTGGAAAAAAGTCTAATTGTGAGATTATTTTTTTTTTATCCTGTGGCAGAAACAAGCTTCCATAGATTCAGCACTTCTGTATTGCATTAATACAGAAGTGCACATTTAGCACACAAAACCCAGTGTAAAGAGGTGGCACTGAAATGGGTGTGGATCAGCTGCCTGCAGACGGCAGTGCCGGTGTCCTGCGGCGGATCTCCTGCTGGAGCTGCTCCTTCAGTGTGGACACCTGCTCCTCCAGACCCCTGACGCGCTGCCGGTGCGCTCTCTCTCGGGCCGCCAGCGCTCGCTCCGCCTCTCTCTGACTGACGCGCAGTCTCTCAGCCTCCCGATGGGCCGCCTGCTCGCTCGCGCTGGGACTCTGCTCCAGTTCCGCCAGCTGAGTCTGAGACAAAAACACGCCACACATACACACCGCTGGTCCGTAACCAATCAAGTAACAGAGACAACCCACTGTCACCATAGCAACAGCAGAAACCATAGCAACCCCAACACCACGGCGAGTATGTTCCTGATGCTGCTGCTCTACTGCACTACGAAGCGCTTCAAACACAAACACGACCTGTTCTTAAGGCCCGCTCACACCGCGGATAACTATAGCGACAACTGTGAATTTATAATAATTGCTCTAATTGAGAACAGTTAAGTCCACACTGCAACGGTAAAGATAACGACACAGAGGAACGATATCATCAGAATCACTTCCAGAACGATATTTCGTTATCACCTGTTGGTGTAAACACTAATATAGTTATTGTTGTAACTATCGTCTATTGGTGTAGACGGTAATATATATATCATTATAGATAGCATTATAGTTATCTTTATAGTTTTTGTTCATTGGTGAGGACACCAACATAGTTATCGTTATAGTTATCTTTATAGTTCTTCTACTTGGCATAGACGCTAGTATAGTAATAGTTATCGTTCATTGGTGTGGGTGTTAATATAGTTATCGTTATAGTTCATTGGTGTGGGCGTTAATATAGTTATCGTTATAATTATCGTTCATTGGTGTGGGTGTTAATATAGTTATCGTTAATTGGTGTGGGCGTTAATATAGTTATCGTTAATTGGTGTGGGCGTTAATACAGTTATCGTTAATTGGTGTGGGCACTAATATAGTTATCGTTCATTGGTGTGGGCGTTAATATAGTTATCGTTAATTGGTGTGGGCGTTAATATAGTTATCGTTAATTGGTGTGGGAACTAATATAGTTATCGTTCATTGGTGAGGACACCAACATAGTTATCGTTATAGTTATCTTTACAGTTCTTCTACTTGGCATAGACGCTAGTATAGTAATAGTTATAGTTCATTGGTGTGGGCGTTAAAGGGGTCATATGATGCGATTTCAAGTTTTCCTTTCTCTTTGGAGTGTTACAAGCTGATTGTGCATAGATAAGATCCCTGAAGTTGCAAAGACTAAAGTCTCAAAACCAAAGAGATATTCTTTATCAAAGTTAAGACTCTGCCAC